TGAACTGGAAAGTGACCTGAGATGACATGATGTGAATTGGAGCTATAGAAATACACTGAACAGAATCACATTTTTGACCTAACTGTTTTAAAACTTCTGTTGGTCTAAAGGATTAAAAGATATGGCATCTCCATTGCCTCCGATGTGCTTTCTATAAATCATCTTGTGTCAGTTATAATGAATAAAACACAATCTGGTCCATTTACAAGTGTTGCATTTATTCACATATTCCCAGAACGCAGCGAGAGGCACTCCAAGGAACGAGGACTCGTCTCTGTACCACAGGCACAAATTAAACATGCCGTCCTGGCATTACAACATAAGGCATAAAGGTTTAGGTTTACAAACACTGTCCAGCTTTAAATCAGTGTGTCCAACATGAATAAAGAAAGAATCTCCAACAATCCTGCACAGAACACGCAGCGCATCTCCTGTGAGACAGAACAAAGTATTTGGAGAAAAAAAAACTAAATAAATATGCATTTAATACTGAATGTGTCTGAAAGACAACTGGATTTAACGTTTTAGGATGACCAACAGAAATAAATGAAAGATAATAATCTCACATGAAAAGCAAATTATTGTTATAAAGACAAACGTATTAATGTGAGCTTTGCTGTTGTGCTTCAGAGATCACCACCACAAAGTAATAATGTTAATTTTCAATAACAAAAACAAAATTATTGTTTCTTTTTGTGTATTTTGACCAATTTGAGCAGTTTGGGGAGAAAAATAAATATATCTTTAGAGATAGTACATTAATATCAAAAATGTTATTGAAGAATAAAGCAAAAAAATCAATGTAGACTGCCTTTAAATTTACACTTTCTTAACCTTTCCCTCTAAAACACTAAAACTAGGAGCACCAAATATACGACTGGCATAATTTAAATTTAGGGGACTGATGGGAGAAATTGTGTCCAACATATTTTTCTATCATTGATGAAAATATGTCTTACAAAAGGAAAAAAACCTCTTTATGCTTCTCTGCAGATTATTTAAGAACAAACTTTAAGTCAAAACTATAACCACATAAATAAAGGCTGTTTTATGAATCATGAAGCAAACCAATGGAAAGAAAATGAATGTTTTGTTCAATACTATTAAAATAATCTTTAAAAGGACATAAAAGTGCAGGTTTGGATTTAACTCACTGATAAAAGGGGAAAAAATCACCAAAGTAGTTCTTTTTAATGACCTTTTTAAGACAATAGTGTCATTTAAAACCCACATGGAAACCCTGAGCTTATTGCCTGCCGTGACGTCCCTTCATTTCAAACCACTGGAGACTAAATGAAACAACAGTCAGAGAAATGAGAGCTGCTGGTGTCAGTGTGTCCTGCCGCTGTGCGGAGGCAGCAGAGGACCTCAGAGCTCCTGCAGAGCCCTCTGACAGTGGTAGAGGAGGCAGTCGGGCAGCTCGGGGACGGGAGAGCGCAGCCAGACGGCCAACATGCCGGCATGCACCCGACAGTGCATGAGACACGGCTGATCCTGCCGCAGGCAGCACGCCACGATGCCTTCCGCACCTGAGAAAACAGTAAACACAGTGACTGCTTAGAAGCATTTTGTTTCTTTAGAGTATTTGCTAACTTGTACGGAAGCGGATTGCATTCACCAAAGAGAAATAATAATAAATCAGACAGCTTATCTCATAATTATGAGATCCGAACCTCAATATTAAGAGATTTTATCTCATATGGGATAAGATCTCGTAATATTGAGATAAAATGTCATAACCTGATCAGGAAGGACAGTGAAGACCAGTTTTCTGAGAGATGCTGCATTACTGGCTCAAGTAATCAATTCTATTCAGCTCGCAGTCACAGCCAAACAGGAACAGACCAGATTAAGTTAATATGATGAGAAAAAGCAGACAAATACTGCAGAATGGGAGAATAGAGATAGAGTGATGAAAAGGGGTTACCATGTCCTCCAGCAGCTTAAGCCTATAGCAGCACAAATGCAGAAAATAGCTTAGGATAATCTCAGTATTTTGGATGAGGTATAAGAAAGGTAGAACCACAGTTATAGACTTCACACTATTTCAAGTATGCAGTACTTTTTTACACCATAGAGGCAGTTTTTAAATGTAAATATTTCAAACACAAAACATCCAATATTAATTCAGGAATGGATGTGTTGGAAATATGTCTTCATCCACGTTCATTAATGAGTATCAGTAGAGTTAAACTGAACAAAAAAGAAAATTACAACTAAAATTGGAGATTAAACATTTTTGTTGGACGGCGAATATGTGTGGAAAAGATGTGAAGCAGTTTGGGATTTTTTTTTTCTTACTTCCAACATGGAGGTTATGTTTTTTAGGAGAGTTTGTTTGTGTGTTGGTCTGTTTACAGAATAAGAGTTTTTTGGAATTATGACCAATGAGGCTCCTCAGTCCAAGGAAAAATTCATTTAAATTTGATAATGATCCAGATCACATCTTTGAGCTATAGGTGTAAGTCACAATTTGGAGGTCTGCTAGCTTAATAATCCACCAAGTGTTAAGGTGGCTGAAGTTCTGAGTAAAGGTTTTTTCCATGCAAACCACATCTTTACTGAGGAAGACTTCTTTCTGACTTCCTCTCTAACATTCCGGCTTAATTTACTGTTTTTTTAATTATTACACTGATGCTCAGAGCCTCCCATTATGTGATCTTTTGTCGTAATTATGAGAAAAGATCTCATAATTACAAAAGATCTCATCTGTAAAATTGGTCATGATTTCCTTTTTGATAAAGCTTCTAGTTAGAGTGGCTCAGGTTATCCTGATCTATCTCTATAGTTCTGCTGCTATAGGCTTAGACTGCTGGAGGACATAGGGACCCCTTTTTCATCATTCTGCTTCATTCTATCTCTATTCTCCCACTGTGCAGACTCTGTTAGTTCA